CCGCTGGGCCAGCTCCAGGGCCTCGATCTCTGGGGGGGCGGGGGGACAGGTGAGGCCGCGCCCTCCCGTCAGAGGCGCTGAGCACAGGCATGGGCTCTTTGGGGGAGGGGTCAGCACGGGGCATCCGTCCCAGCCCACGGGGCTCTGGGAGGCGGCGGCCAGGTGGGGGCCAGGGCAGGCCCAGGAGGGCGGGAGCCGGGCCGGCTGTGGGGCCTGGAGGGCGCGGCTGGTCCGGCTCGGCTGGGCCCCAGGGAAAGCGCCGCCCCGACACGCACTCCCGGGTCCTGCAGCACCGCTGGGGACCTGGCCCGAGCAGGTCCTGTGTCCACCTGCTGCCCCAGGTCCCTCAGGGAGAAAGAGGCCACCGCACCCCGCCCCGCCCCGCCCGGGAGCAGGCGGGGACCCAGCAGCATCCCAAGGGCCACTCACTCTGCAGCCACCGGGCGCGTCTCAGCTTCCGCTTCTCCCTCTTGGGCAGCTCCGCCGGGGGCTGCGCTCCTGGGGGAGATGGTGAGGGACCTCGGGCGCTGAGCCCAGCCCAGCCCCGCCCCGCCCCGCCCCGCCCCTCGGGACCTGGCCAGGTCAGCAGCGGCTGAGCCTGGGCAGCCAGGGCCTCCCCTCCCAAGAGGCCACCCCAGGGCCAACCCCAGTCCTGGGAGCAGGCCCCAGCACCCTCCACTATCCACACAGGGCGCTCGGGCTCCCCACGGCTGCGCACCGGCCCGCCCCGGCACCCCCACTCCTTGGGTTCTGAGCTGGGGCGGAGGCCAGGAGAGGACAGCCCCTTGGGGCTCAGAGGGTGGCAGCGAGAGTGCCTGGCCCTGCTCTGGCTCGGCCACCCCCGCTGGGCACAGCCCCAGACAGGGCGTCTCCCCTCCCGACGGAAGGCGGCCAGAGAAGTGGGGGGTTGGGGAAGTCGGGTCCCCCAGAAGCGGGGGCCAGAGCAGCCAGACCCACCTGGGCCTGGGCTCACCGGCAGACGCTGGCAGAGGCCGTGGCGGGCAGCTGGCACCTGCTCCGCGCACCTGCTGCTCGGGGCTGGCTGGCTCAGGCCCGAGGGGCCCGAGGGTGCCCCTGTCTGACACACAGGAGCCAGGGGTGCACCGGCCCCTGGCCCCAGGCGCCCGACTCCCGGGGGGCAGAGGCCAGGCGCGTGTGGGGTGTGCAGGGCGGCCCCCGGGGGCGCTGCCCCAGGTCAGCGGGCAGTACCTCTCTGGGGGGAGGCAGCGCTCTCCGCGTCCAGGTCCAGCCGCTGCACCAGGGCGCTGGGCTCTATCTGGGTCCCGGAGAAGATGTCGGAGGCCACGGAGGCCCAGGCCTGCAGCAGAGAAGGGGTGTAAGAAGCCTGGCGCGGGGGTGCCCAAGGCCCCGCCCCCCAAGCCCCGCCCGCTCCTCGTCGGCCTGACCCCCAACCTCCAACCTGCGGTGGCTCCAGCTGCCACGGCCGCAGGCAGCCGCTGCCCGCACAGCCCCCG